TATCCTTGCAAATGTGTTACGTGTCGTGGCCACACGGAGCTCGTTCCTCACATCAAGTTTCGTTCTGTATTTGTTTTTGATGTACGTGAGGTCAGAAAATGTAGATTCAGCCAAGTATGTTGCGGCGAATGGGAGTAGCACTCGAACTGCTCGGTCGGAGATGCATGGATAATCCGCAGAGAGGGAGAGCCAGAATGTGTCGAGGGGAGTTGTTTCAAAGTGCTGCATAGTTGACCGATCAGCCTGCAGGTCACTCAGCTCCTCGAGGTGTTTCAGCGGCATGTCCCACTCTTCGACTCTGATCGGGTTCCTGACCCAGTCCAGCTCTTCCCCGGGTAGGTCCCCGAACCACTCCTCAAATTTTCCGGAGAGGCCGTCAAGATGCTCCGTAATTTGGCTTTTGATAAGTAAATCGTCCTCTTCGAGCAGGCCATGGAGAGTCGGAAACATGTCAAACGTGTCATGTAATGCCTTTCTTCTCCAAATGTTAAGCTTTCCTTGGAATCCATTTATCTTGTCACTCAGAGTTAGCACATTGGCATTTCTTCCCTGCATCGACACATTCAGTTCATTTAATTTCTCGAGGATGTCCGCTAAATATGCAACCTGCTGTACAAATTTAGGGTCATCCCAGTAAGTAGCCAGCGGCGATTGTTTGGCGTACAGAAATTCACGCACTTCAGATCGAAGGGTGATGAGGCGGCGAGTAACTTTCCCTCTTGAAAGCCATCTTGCCTTCGAGTAGAAAAGCAGAGACGTATACGCCGCGCCCACCTCTTCACACAAAATCTTGAAAAGTCTCGTTTGCAAGGGGTGGGCTTTGATCTCATTAACCATCTTCACGATGGCGGCGAGGACCTCGTGGAATGGTGACTCTTGATCCAGACCGGCCGCAAGACTCTCCCGATGTATCATGCAATGTGTGAACTGGATTTGCCCGTTGACTCTCAGAACCAGGCCTTTGAAGCCTGACTTTGCGCCGAGCATTACAGGTGCGCCGTCAGTACAGATGCCAACACAGTTTGACCACATTACTTTGTTTTCTGAGAGGTAGGAATCAAGCAGCCCGAAAATGCTTGCGGCGTTCGCGTTACCGTCGATTGGCAGGCAGAACAGAAAATCTTCTTCTATGATTTTTTTCCCGTTGTCGTCAACACTGCAGTACCGAACAAGGCACATTACTTGGGCCTTCGCCTCGGTGTCCGTCGACTCGTCGAGTTGGAGAGCGTACAGGGGGCTCTTCTTGATCTTATTCAAAAGTTGTTCTTCGATGTCTTGTGCACAGTTATCTACGCGGCGTTTTACTGTGTTGTTGGACAGGGGGATGCACTGTAGAACCTCGGCCTTTGACTTATCGAACATTATTTCAACGATCTTTCTGCAGGCAGGCAAGAGAAGATCCTCTCCGAGGGTGTGTGGTTTTTTTTGCCTTGCGATCAGGACGGCAACTTCGTAAGACGCCCTCAGGGCCTTCTGCGGGACCGTCAGTCTCTTCTCAAAGCCTGCGCGCTGCGTGTTGCTCTGGGCGAGCAGCCGTTGGAAGTAGGTGACAGGTTTCTGCGCCAACGCAGCGTGCTTGGTGTCCAGGTGTCTCTTGAGTTTGACATGCCGTCGGTACCCGCCGCTGCCCCCGAGGCTGTCCCTGCCGCCCTACTTGCCGCCGACCTCACCCGCTGACCGCTGGCCCCTCGCCTTACCCCACCCGTTCCTCCGATACACCAACAATACAGTCACTGAGCCATTCAGCATATTTGGCGCCAATATCTTACTACGCAGCTACAATAGACACCTTGTCAGGTAGGCCCGGTACCGTGACCCCCGCCCTCCCTTGGGTTTTACGTTCGGCCGCCTGGCACGGAAACGAAACAACAAGCGGTGGGTTTCCCGTATCTTCGGCCCGAGTAGCGTCCGCTCGGCCGAGCTAGAGGTGTCACATCTCAGGTCCGGGGAGAACCCAGGCGACCCCAGGCGACCCCAGCTCCCTCTTCGCGACCCCAAAATTTTTTTCCGCGACCCCAAATGGGGTCGCGACCCCGTGGTTGGGAACCACTGGGATAAGGAGAAGGACTCGGAAAACTTGAGTCAACTTCCATCAAAACGGTGGGGATGGAGGTTGAGGAGAAAACTGAAAATATTAATGTAAAAACACCGGTGACCAGTGTTAACTCAGCACCAATGATTCAATGTACAATTTTGAATAAAGTACAATAAGTTCGTTTAGATACTGCAGCTGTTATTACAGTAATTCCCAGAACAAGAGACCTTCCAGTAG